TTAGGGTTTAGGGTTTGGTGCTGTGGCAGCGACGTGCAGGCCGACGTGGCCGCTGCCTGCAAGTTCTTGGAAGGGCAGCTGGAACGTCAGAGAGATAGCTGGAAGGGGCAACCGGAGGAAGCAGCTGCCCATGCCAAGCAGCTGAGCGACGACAGCGAAACCATGACAAAGGCCTCGCCGAAATGGGAGTTTCAGAAAATTGGGGTACCTTATTTTGGGTTCCTTATAATAGGGATCCTATTAATTAGGGTACTATATTAGGGTCCCCTATTTTCGGAAACCCCCAAATCCTCAATTTCTTGACCCTGCCCACTGCACTCTGAGCCTGGCAGCCTAAAGCTCTGAACCCAAGGGCCTATAGACCCCTAAACCCTCAAACCCTAAACCCTTAAACCCTAAAGCCGGAAGCCCTGAACCCTAAAACCCTCTCAAGACTCAAGCCTAAACCCCAAAACTCCCTAAACCTTAAACTCCCTAAGCTCAAACCCCTAAACCCTAAACCCTAAACCCTAAACCCTCAAACCCTAAACCCTAAACCCTAAACCCTAAACCCTAAACCGAAACCAGGCCTTGTCCTTGGACTTCCTCCAGGCGACCCCAATGAGCCCCGGGCGGCTGATGTGCCGCACCCTGGACAAGCTGCGCTGCAAGCTGCCTCTCAAGGTCCTTGAGATTCGTTTAGGGTCTTAGGGTCTTAAGGTTTAGGGTCTAGGGTTTAGGGTTTCTTTGGTTTTAGGGCCTAGGGTCCCTTATGACTCTAATAACTAGAACAATAGCAATAGTCATGGTGCCAGTAATAGAAATACCAACCTATTTCAATGTAACCCCAAAACCTGTTTCCAATTATGACGGCCCCAGCACTACAGAATCCTAGTATCGATCCCTTGCAGAACCCTTCTTCAGGAACCCTTAGAAACCCTAAACCCTAAACCCCTCTTCAGGAACCCTAAGGTGCCACTCTTCGCGGACGTTTGCCGTCTTGGGTATACAGCTCTGTCATTTTATCCCGCCTATAGGCCTCGTTCTTTTCTCTATCCTGTTGGCACGACCTGCTTGGGCTATGCACTTCCGGCAGCCATCGGGGCAGCCATAGCAGAACGGGGCTTGCCTGTGGCAGTGCTTGTTGGTGATGGTGGCTTGCAATTCAACATTCAGGAACTGGCCGTAGCTGCCGAAGAGCATTTGCCAATCTTGACCATCTTGTGGAATGATAGTGGCTACGGAGAGATACGCAGCGTTTCCGGCGAGTTCGGCACGAGTTGGGCTTCGCCCAACTTTGCGCAGATTTGTGCAGGCTACGGCATAAAGCATGTTCTGGTAACGGACATGACGTCTCTGGACGAGGCCTTCGAATCTTCGGAAGTTACAGCGGTGCTAAGGGGAGATGGGGGCCCCGTCCTGCTGGAGGTGGCGTGCCCTCCGGAGGCCAAGGCAACAGTCCAAGGACGGGTCTCTTCTCGCAGAGAGGTGCCGAAGTTCATCTTGGGCACCATGACGTTAGGTTGGGACAAGGCATCGTCTTTCGTGGACGAGGCTGTTGCGGCTCAGATGATCAACTACTTTCTGGCAGAAGGACATCATGAGATTGACACAGCTCGCATGTATTCTGAAGGCCGTGCCGAGCAAATGCTTGCGGGTTGCGTTGCGCAGCTGCCTCATGATCTTCGACGCAAGGTGCTGTTGGCCACCAAGGCAAACCCAGCGGCTGAAGCTGGAGACTTTGCTATCATGGGTGGGTTCCAAGATCCAATGCTGTCGTCGCAGTTTACCCGCAGCCTGGATGCTCTCAGCACAGACAACGTGGATCTGTTTTACTTGCACTGGCCCGATAGCACAGCCTCCATGGAAGAGACCCTGCAGCAAGTACAGCGAGCCTACGTGGAGGGCAAGTTTACTCGCTTTGGTATTTCCAACTATTGGCCATCGGAGGTATCTAGAATACATCAGCACATGAAGGACCGGAATTGGATACTGCCCACTGTTTACCAAGGCATGTACAATGCTCTGACCCGGAATGTCGAGAAGGAACTCTTCCCACTGCTGCGCGACTTGGGAATGAGCTTCTATGCGTTTAATCCCTTGGCTGGCGGCCTCCTTACAGGCAAGCATTCGCTGGAGAAGCCTGCTTCCCGCGGCAGGTTTCACCAAAATGACGACTATCAGAAGAGATACTGGAAGCAAGAGTATTTCGAGGCCATGAAAATCGTCACGGCGCAGACAGAGGCTGCTGGCATCCCCATGTCAGAGGCAGCGCTTCGGTGGTTAATTCACCATTCCATGCTGCGAGGTGAATTCGGCGATGGGCTGATAATTGGTTGCTCATCGTTAAGCCAGCTCAAAGAGAATCTTTCAGTCTCTGGATCCGAGCCTCTCCCTGCCAGAGTTGCAACAGCATGGGAAGATGCTTGGGAGTGTGTTAAGCCAGTCTGCCCGCCATTTTCTCCGCAGATGCGTTGAGGGTCATGTGCCAAAGAGCCGACTTGATCCTATGTAGCTGTCAGCAAGACCCCGGTAGGGTCAGTCACTGGCTTGTGAGGTGGTCTGGAACTGCAGGCATCGAAAGGGCTGCTGATGTGTTTGGAATCTTCCTCCCTTGCGCGTCCATACCATGCTTGAAGGTTCATGGGTATTTGGAACACAAGTAGAGCAAAGAGTAAGGAGGTAGCTGTAGTTGCAATCGAAACTTCACATGACCTTCGAGTAGGGCGGGGCTTAGAGTTTAGAGATGTCTAGAGATGTTTGGAGGCTATGTTGGGGCTACACCTCCGATAGCTCCACAAGCTATTTCTGCATCTTGCGATGATCGCCCACAACGTCTGAACTGCTGCGCATTCACTGCGAAGACACCTGCACAGGCAGAGCAAGTCAGTTAGGCTGCTACCCCTTGATGGTTCACAAGTTGATCTTGAACAGTGAAGTCGTCGCGTTGAGTGTAGAGCACAGCAATGCTCGGCAGTAATTCGAAAACTGAATACTATCGAAGTGCAGAGAGAGCAGTTGCAATGGCAGCGCTGCGACGGATTGGATTTCCAAAGTTGATACGACAACAACAACAACAACAACTA